AGGAGTTAGGAGGGGTAGAGGTAGACCTAGATTAGATTACTGTTCGCAAATAGTTAAGGATGTGGGCTGTTCTAGTTTTAGGGAAATGCGAAGTTTAGCTCAGGATAGGAAAGAGTGGGGGTACGTGTCGAACCAGTCTTAGGACTGATGACCCTATGATGATGATGATAATATTAATCACTAGTATTCAAGCGCCCCATTTGTCCGTTCTCAACTACGTTCATCGCTGCGAATGAAAGAGAAAGTAGAATGCTAAGACTAAATATGAATTTCAGTCTTTTTTGTTAGATATATATTTTTTTGAATGGGATTGATTAGTAAATTTAATATTCTTTGACACCTTATTGTGAAAGCCGTTCCTTCAAGAATTCGTGAGGAGACGTTAATACGTTTTTAGAATCCTAAGCATTCCTTTTACCAAATTAATTTCTTCACTTTTGTAATTGAAGAATACTGGAACCCTCGGAAGCGTCAATTAGCTTTTGAAGGAGAGTTGTGGGACTCCATAAAAGGGCAGAAATTAGAAAACATCAAAGAAGTTTCGTGCCTGTCGGCTTAAGGGCGCTTTCATTTTGGTAAGCAGAAGTTGAGTCCCGCGGTCATTTTTACAACAGTGTTCTCTAATTACGCATAATTTGGGCTCCACATAGTAGCCATTTTGCAAAACTACTAACACAAGAGCTACAGTAATTATTATTAACAATAAGGTCGTATCGTCTAAAAATATTATGTGTCTACTACAACGTTTGAGTGGCTGAATGGTCTATAATCTGCACAAGTGCATAAATTGAGGTTAAGAATTTATGGAATTTGAAGTTTACATTACTGAGTATGGTTTTCCACAATAAGAAATTAATAAATGAAAAATTCCTATTCGCGTATTGCATTTTCTTCAAGTATCTATACATATATCTAATCATATGTATAAATGCTGGGAATTTAATAATAAAAGCTTTTAATGTTTGTTGCAATTAAAATATGCCCTGGGAAGTTTTGTGAGATCTACTTTTTTGAATGACACAACTGGGGTGACCTACTGAACCAAAACCATCATCTAACGGAAAAACATGTTTCTGCCTCGCCATGATGTAGGTGGGTGATAATGCCAGAAACAATGACAAAGTAAATTTTTGTGACACATTGTGTCAAACACAATATCAATTTTATTTTCGTTTAGCCTTGTTCACATTCAGTGACAAACACAACCCTTATAAGATCATTCATGCGTTTGATTACGATATCGAACGTAGAAATTTTGACCATGTTTTCCAGTAACTAATTACCAATTTAAGATATTTAGAGGGTAAGTAAAGTAAGTTTTTTTTTTTTTGTAGAATACCGTCCGAAAAACATTACGGTAATGAATCCAAAAGTACCTATTGTCTTTAAAATCTTAGGTACCTGTAATATACTGAAAGTGTGCAATGATGCTGTACCATTTTATTTCCAAAACGATTGAAACTTAAATTGTAAAAGAAACATAAGTGTTAAGAAACTTAACATAATCTTTCCAAGAAGTATAACGGGAAGGAATTTACGTACCAATACTAACTTTTGACCACCAAGGAGCCCAAATTTTGAAAAAATCTATAAGTTTCAGCACGGAATATGAGTGAATTCATTTGTTTGATAATTTCGATATAAATGACAATGTTCAGTTCACCTCGAAGTTTAAGTCAAAAAATTGTTGAAATTTAAATTTTCAGTTTTGGTCTATGAACGTATAGGTGAATGTGCAAAAGAGTCTTTGTTTTTGTAGTATGAAAAATATCTGACACTGAAAATTTTTGTGTTTCTTTGTTACTTTGACTGTTTGCCTCATTGTCTTCGTTACTTCCAACAGTCTTTTAACATGATTGTGTACTTTTGGATCTTAATTTCAATCAGTTCTACCAGATGCATTTTTAAGAGAAGTATGTCTTTGCTTCAGTTTATTAAAATTGCTAAAAGAGAGGAAAACTTTATGAATCCTGAAATCTAAATATTCAGAATTCTTTGGATACATTTGTTTGGGCAATTGATTTTTCGACAGATGTGGTTCGACTTGAGTAGGTAGGAAGTTTTTGGATTGTTATTTCTTCATAAACGATTCACAAGAACAGCAACAGAAATGTTACTTTTATTATTACAACCGTCCTCTATTTAAAACTAATGCCATTTTTAAATCTATTTTGCAATTTCTACATGGCCCCAGTAGCTGTGCTTGTAGTACCCAGTTTTCATCGAGGAATTAAATTAATCATTACGGATTTAAAAGAATATCCTTTCAGAAAAGCTTTATGTCTGTTCCTTTCTCACAATTTGTTTGTTGTTCAAGGTCCTTTCGTTCCAGTAATACCCTACTGACCTAGCCAGACTGTAATCTTATTCCTTGAAACAGTGATGGTAAGGAATACTTCTTTAATGAACACGGTTATCATTCCACAAGTAATTCCATCTCAACTTTCGTTTGACTGACATCAGTTTTGGAGATAATGATCTATATATTCGTAAAAAACGATAACTTGTACATTTCAAGACAATCCCTGAATCCTTGGATATTTAAAGAAGAGCTTTTCAATATATTCGAGCAATGAATTGATTTCCATATACAACGATATTGATCCAAGTTTTCTTATTCCATGTATGAGCTGAAATTCTGGTTTACGCTTTTTCAAGAGTTTCCTGGACCTTCTTAGAATATCAGCTTCACGTATGTAGGTTTACTTTTGCTTTGGCAAATGTTTTACATGTGTTACTATTTAGGGTTGTTTTTCAGTTGAGTTGGGTTAAGTAAAAGTAAATTTCTGAATATTTCTCAATCACGACTTCCTTGAGCAACTGAATCATTTATGAATTTCAAAGAACTCCTTTTCGGATACACTTTGGGGACGTATCTCCCTTTTCATGAATTTTTTATTATTTATCCTTTAGTCCTAGACAGTAATTTATTTAAAAGTTACATTTCGACATGGCCTACTGAACTATTCGATGAATTTATTCCACGCTCGTCGTCTGAGGTGGCTGGAAGTTTGATGTAGTCGTTATGGAGGATTTTGTGGTGCAATGCCCTGACAAAGAAACCGTGAACGGTAGCGTCGTCTACATAGGTCGTCTTCGACCAGCTACCACCAACAGCAAAATCAAGCAAGCAGCACAGGAGATAGCTGAATTTCAAGAGATCAATAAAATGCGCGGCCCACCTCCTGGTTCTCTCTTCGGTCGCCAGCGTTCGCCAGTTAACGCACGATCCGCGACTAGTCAGCACGCACAACCACCACCGAGTTACGACGACGTACACGACGCCAAAACCGACGCCCGCGAGATCCTTTTTTAATCCGGCGGGGCGTCGAAAAACGACCCCTATCTAGTTGCTCTTTGAGTTAGTAACGAGACCGCAATGCGCAAAGTTGTGTTCGGAACAACAAGATTCGGAGCTTTCGGTAGACGGGTTGTGTGAGTTCGTTGTGCTTTTGGAGAAGGTCTGTTTTTGATGGAAAAACGTCGGAGAGCTTTAGCTCACATGTTGTGGTGTCACAACAGAGGGTGACGTTTTCACGAGAAATTAGACGCACTATCGGTCTACCACATTTTGGGAATTTTATATTAAAAATTAAAGAACTTCCCATTTACTAAGCTTTGCTTTATCAAGCTTTTAACCCTGTGTTATTGGGCTTTTACTGTAAAACACTTTAAATTCTCATATTTTCTTAACAAAGGGGAAGAGAAAATGCAGTAAAAATAATAAATCCTACGGGTGCTTATTTTTTTTGTAAGAAACATAAGTTATTAGCTGTTTTAATCCAAAATCCTGCACCTAAATAAAAATGATACATGTAGAATAAAATTTAAGAATTCTTTACGATTGGTTGAATAAATGCAATTTTTTTTGTGAAAATGTCACCACACTTCTCAAGAATTTCTTTTATGACTTTACGAATCCATAATCCCAGTTTCCTTAGAACTAAATTTTTTTTGACTTAATTTAATTTATTATTTATTATAAACTATTTTAATATGCTAATTTTTTTATATTCAAGCAGTTTCATACAGTGGTGCAACTTTTCTTTATTTTACTGGAATATTTTTTGATGCGAACTGAAAATTCTTTATTCGATAGTAACATTTTAAAACTTTGGAGTATTTCTACCATGGAGGGGCACTACTGGATAGAAAATAAATAACCAAAACTCTGCACATGATATGTGCTTTTGGTTTGTGGCATATTTCTAGTTCATTGGGTGCGTTCTCGCTGTCTTCTAAATCCCTTCTCCCAGGACGATTTGTTTACGTCTTCCCTTTTGGATTTAGTACACAATCTCATTTTGTAAGCATGCTGTTTTGTAAAGATCGATAGGATAATCTTCAATGTTTCTCTTTGTTCAAATTTACAGAAAACTTTACTTAGAAACACAAACCTAAAGTTACTTTATTAAAGTGGTTTGGTATCATAAAAGAAAATATTGAATACTGCTATTTTACAATTGTTGCTCAGTTGTTTGTTTAAACATAAAAGCTTTGAAAGTTCTAAAAAATGAATACGAAAATGAAGCCAGCCTCTTCCTGTTTCAGTTTTCAGAAATTGGCATTTAAGGAACAAAAATACAAAAATATAAATAAATATCCAATAAGTTAATAAAACCTGCAATTAACAAGATGAGAACAAATGTGACGAAAGTAATATTATAAAAAAAGAAACCTTTCAACTTGACAAAATTTTGTTCTAAGCGAATCTCATATTTCTTAAGATTTCAATTCAGTTGGTGAACCTTTCTAACAGATCATTAAGAATAATGATTTGGTTTTTATGGTAAAAACTTTAAAGTCTAATCAATAAATTTAGTGTTTTGTACTGTATTCTATTATGTTAATAAATTTAGGATCTAAATAAAAATGTATGTTTATTGTTCTTCGATGGTGCCGAAAGAAATAAGTTTTTCTGGTGGGTCAACTGAAATGGGGAGAGGCTCATGTAGTTCATAAACAACAAAAGATAATTCAAATCCAAATTGATAGAACACTTGACGTGTTATCTTTATTTATATACCTAGATTCATGTCATCGCTACTTTTTCATTAGTATATCGAAGAAGCGATCAATACTAATAAAGACAGGACGATTTTGGGGTAGACGTACAGACAGGACAAGGATTAGCGTGCAGATGGTGAAGGAGAATCAGTATAAGTATCTGGTAGGGAGGAGTTAAAGTTAGCTTTAAATAAAATTGAAGATGTATTGACATATGAAAATTAATAAAAATAAATCAAAAATATTGGTATGTATAAAGGCCTGGAGCTTATGCAAAAGTAGGACATGTGAAACTGGAGCATATCGTTTTTAGGGAATCAGATAATTCAGGATAGAAAATTCGCTTGAAATGTAAAACAAAGAATAGTGCTCGGTCGGTTTGCTTTAACATAAAGAACAGATTTTTAAAAGTGTATATATTTGGCCGATATGCTTCGTGGAAGCAACAGTTAGAAGCGTTAGCGTTGTGGTGGATAGAAAACGTTATGAGAAAGTCTTATATAGAGTAAGAGTGCAGAGGACGATATGGAAGTAATAAGAAATACGTGAGACAGGTTGGTAAGCCACCTGTTCAGACCCATACATAATTCAATAACAATAAATTGATCTAGAACGCATTCAGAAAGACGTATGTGACTGAGGTTCTTTAGCATCAGCCCGTCTTCACTTGCTTATCTAGTTGACTAGTGAAAACCGAGAAGACCGGAAGATAACAATAAAAACTTAAAATATTATATAATAGCGTAGCTGAAATGCAATTGAATAACTTAACTTTTGGATGTTTAATTCCCATCAGCCAGTAATGCTGGTAGGCGGGCAGTCCCTCCTGATTACGCCGGAAGGTAAGGCGGAAGGCCCTCTTTAGCCTTCTTTCAGGAATCATGGGAATGGGTGGGTGGTGTTTAGGGTGAGAAAGATGAGACGGACGAAATGGAGACAGAAGAGAATGAAAGATTATCTGTGGAATATTACTGCCTCAGCATTTGCCTAAGTGGTCCAAGGAAACCACAGAAAAACTTAAACCAAGGCAGGCGGACCCGGAATCGAACTGGGGTCTTCCCGAATGCTAACCAATGGTCTAAACCTCCAGGTCATGCCGCTCGGTCTGCAATTGAATACAGTAACATACCTATATCAGTCTACAAAATCCAGTAATCATTGATAGATTTGGAATAAATTGTATTCTGATTCCTCAGCACATACCCCTTAACAGATAACACGATACGTTGAATTAAAAAAGGGGTTAATAATAATCCCCGATCTAATGGTCCCATGTTTAATAAAATAACAATACATTGATATACACGACTCATCCAGGAAGATGTGAGTGACATTCTTTGGCATCAGCTTGTCATCACTTGCTCTTAAAGTTGACAGTGAGATGCGAAAAAACTGGAAGATAATTATGAAAACTTAAAACATTACTTGATAGCTTAGCCAAATTGAAATTACCTAAACAAATATGCATAAGTCAACAAGAATAAGTGATCATAGATACATGTTGAAAATATAATACAATAATTTCTTAACACCATTACTGTAAATTCCCCTTTCCAGATAGTACGATATGTTAAATTAAAAAAGGAGTTAATAGTAATGCCTGGTCATAATTTAAGACAACAAATATTGATAGTCGTATGTTTAATTCAATAAGAATAAATTGGTATCGGCAACACATCCAAAAAGATGTGAATGAGTTTCTTGGCATCAGCCCGTCGTCAGTCTCCAGTGAAAATTGAGAAGGCCGGAAGATAACGATTACAAACCTGACCACGAATGAAATAAAATCAACTTAAGTACTTATACTAATATCTACTATTGACGCAATTTATAGGCTCTTTTAAGACGTTTCTAAGAATGCATTTATCTATACTTAAGTACAAGATCCGTAAATGAAAAATTCATTTAAACGCGAATTGAGAAAAATGTTTTTTTTTTTCGAAACATTTGGAATAGTTTCGTTGTATTTTTAGTCAATGAAGTAAACAGTTTTTTTTCAAGAAAAACCATTCGAATGGTAAGTACCTGTACAATATACGCGTTTTGTGAAAATATTATCTTTGGGCCGTGCTTGTGTGCGATTAATTATTGTATCAGGACATCACGAAAAAGATCTCTTTGATTTTGTTGGCACCGTTCGAAGCGAATTAAACAGGTTTGTATTTTCAATATGCTATTCAGTTTCTAAACATTAGACTTTTAAACTTACCCTACGCAATTTGGACCGTTTTGTTTGATGTTCTGGTGATGCACGAGTCCTTTGAGATGCTCGCACACCAACTAAATGAATCTATTTTAAAAATCAAGAATTTACTGATTGGTCCTGTAAAATAAATTCTTTACAATAATACTGGGTGATTTTTTATTCGATCTGAAAAATAGTCAAACGAAAGCCAAAGTTCAGTTGAATATGTAGAGACTAAGCTTTATGTATTTTCTTATCCAATTCTTCTTCTTGTGTGGTTACAATACTTATAATGTTTTTGTATCTATATATACTTTTCGAAATGTGGTGGTACAGGCGAACGATGAGGATAGAGAAGGCTAGAAATGGAAAAGTATTAGAAAGGGTAGGAGAACAAAGGGGCTAGTTAAATACGAATTAGAAGCACAAGCAGGAGTTTAGAGAAGTAGAAGTAGACTTAGATTAGATTACTGTTCACAAAAAGATAAAGATGTAGGTTATCCTATAGTTTTAGGGAATTACGAAGATTAGCTCAGGCAGAGTCCTAGCCAAAGGGGGGATGACCAGAAGTCCGATTTCTTGATGATACTACAATGGTAATCTTTGCTATCTGCGAGAGTTTAGTAAACATCGAACTGAGGACCGATATTTTTTTAAGGTGCCTTAAGTTCTAAGCGCTTCTTAGGTAGTTAGAACTACTATTTGATATACGAGGGTGGATTGATAAGTTTCCGGCCTGACCAAGAAAAACAAGGTTTTTAAAAATTTTTTTTTTTTATTTCTCAACATAATCTCCTCCAAGGCTGATACATTTCTCATAGCGGTGTTCCAGTCTATTAATGCCATCTCTATAGACTGATTCGTCAAGCTCCTCAAAATAACCATTTACAGCTTCGATTACTTCTTCATTGTCCGCAAATCTCTTACCGCCAAGCCATTTTTTGAGATTAGGGAACAGAAAATAGTCACTCGGGGCTAGGTCTGGAGAGTAAGGAGGGTGCGGCATCAATTCAAACTTTAGATCGTTGATTTTAGCCGTCGCAACGATTGACGTGTGCGCTGGTGCGTTATCGTGATGAAACAAGATTTTTTTCTTCGCCAGATGAGGTCGTTTAATTTTCACCTCGTGGCTCAAACGTTGCAATAAGTCTGCGTAGTATTGACCAGTGATAGTATTACCCTTTGCAAGGTAATCAATGTATATAATACCTCTTGCATCCCAAAAAACAGTAGCCATAACCTTGTTCGCCGAAAAAATTGTTTTTGCCTTCTTTGGAGTTGGTTCCCCTGGTCCAATCCACTGTTTAGACTGTTCTTTGGTTTCAGGAGTGTAGTGGTGGACCCACGTTTCGTCAACGGTTACGAATCGACGCAAAAATTCGCTTGGATTACGCTTATACAATGACAAATTTGCGGTAGAAATGTTTTTTCGAATCAATTTTTGGTCGACTGTTAGCAAACGCGGCACCCATCTTGCACAGAGCTTTTCCATATGCAAATGTTGGTGCAAAATATGTTGCACACGTTCATATGACATCTTACAGGTCTCAGCTATCTCACGCACTTTCAATCTGCGGTCTCCCAGCACTATTTGATGAATTTTTTCGATCATATCTGGAGTTGTGACCTCAACGGGGCGTCCTGAGCGAGGCCCATCAGAGGTGCTCACACGACCCTTTTTAAACTCGGAAACCCACTGCTTAACGGTTGAATATGACGGGGAGGATGTCCCCAGTGTTGAGTCCATCTCTTTTTTAATTTCCTTCGGCGTTAACCCCTTCAAATAAAAGTATTTGATGACAGCACGATTTTCCTGCTTTTCCATTTTTACGAAAACCACAGAGGCGTCTTGTTCAGCGTGCTGTCAAACCTACACTAGCAAGGAGATCGGGCTGAAACTATAGCTACAAGCTATCCAAGGATGGTACTATAGAATGTCACCTCAAGGTAGGCCTAGTGGCGTCATCTCTTGGTTAGGCCGGAAACTTATCAATCCACCCTCGTATGCTCTTCTAAGCAAGGCATCATGAAGTTAGCTGCTAAGTATAAAATAGCTGTCGGGGACGCTTTTTGTCTTTATCAGCTACTATTTACAACGAAGCGTTTCGACGGCTTCGAACCAAAAAAGAAAGTAGTTTACTTAAAATAGTTAAAAATTCGACCAGGTCCATCATTAAAGAGGAGAGACTTGAAGACCTTTGCGATGCTGAGCTTAGGACAAGAAAGGGTTGAGCGGAGTGTCAAACCTGTTTTAGCACTGACGACCCTATGATGACGATGATGGTGATAACTTGTTATATTAATGAAAACACTTTTCCATTTTATAATTAGACAATCTTTACAATTACGGTCATATGGTTACAACAATGAATCATTGATATAGTAATTTTTGTATCAACCAAAGGCTCTGTGACGCAGGGGGCGAATAGTACGCGTGAATGGAATAACTAGTCTGCAAGTCAATAAAAAAAAACTTTTGGGTGTTTCATTCCCACCAGAAGCATCCTTTCAGGAATCGTGGGAATGGGTGGGTGGTGGTTCGGGTGAGAAAGATGAGACGGACGAAATGAAGATAGAAGAGAATGAAAGATTATCTGTGGAATATTACTGCCTCAGCATTTGACTAACTGATCCAAAGAAACCACAGAAAAACTTGGACCAAGGCAGACGGACTCGGAATCGAACCGGCGTCCTCCCGAATGCTAAACAATGGTCTAAACCTCTAAGTATCTGTTACTCTGCATTATGCTTGACGATATTGTTTCAACAAACCATAATATAAAGATTCCCTACGGTAGGTTCACTTCCCAGTCACGCTGATACTTCTTTCTCATATTGACGCTAAGTTTAATTTATGATAACCTGCAAAAACAGTATCGGTATTTTAGGTAAATCAAAGGAGTGAACCTACTGTATAGAATCTTTATACTGTACAATGAATTTCATGCTCAAAGTTCGACGAATGACGATTGTCAAGTACGATAAATTGTTGAAATTTTATAAATTGGTATTTATTTTCTATTTTATGAATTTCAACCAAGTAACAAAGGACTCTATTTTATACATTTTTCATTTTATAGGAAAATAAAAACCTTTAGGACTGTACTAATTTCCAACTTTCTTTATCAAAAAACAATCCTTCCTTTATAAGTGTCTCAGAAAGTTCTTCCTATTCTTTCGTAATATAAAATGATCGATTCGGCTGTCCGCACCCTGTTACCTTTTCCACCCATATTTGAGATGTTTACAATGAGGTAATCAATTATACGTTATACTGGCAACGCAACGAGAAAAACTACCCCGGTAACGTTTCTAACAGTGTTATGTTACAAAAGTATATGAATATTACGTATATTTCTTACTAATCTATCATCTGTGTATCGTTTCCTTTTTCTGGGGTTGCAACTATTAGGTTAGTAAATTAAAGGAATTTCAGTGGAGCACGAATCTCTGTCTGTTTATTTGTTTATTTATTTGGAGGTAATAAACGCAAAAATGACTGAATATTTTTGAAATAGATACCTATTAATAAGTACGCATTCAGAATTCCCTTAAAGCAAATTTCTTTTAATCATCATCATAAGGTCGTCAGTCCTAAGACTGGTTGGACACGCACCTCCACTCTTTCCTATCCTGAGCTAATCTTCGCATTTCTCTAAAATTAGAACAGCCTATATCCTTAACTACTTGCGAACAGTAATTTAATCTAGGTCTACCTCTGCCCTTCTAACTTCCGTTTCTGCCTCTAATATGTCTCTGACTAGACCTTCATGCCTGAGAAGGTGTCATACCAACCAATCTCGCCTATGTCTTATTAACTTCCATAGAGTCCTCTGTTCTCCTATCCTTTCTAATACCTCTTTATTTCTTACCTTCTCTATTCACGGTATCCTCATCATTCGCTTATAATACGACATTTCGAACGCTTCTAACCTTTTCTTTTCCGCCGCACCTACTGTCCATGTTTCGCACCCGTACAGCGCCGTGCTCCAAACAGACACCTTTAACAACCTTTTTCGAATTTCTAAATTAACCATTCGCGAGCATAGAAGTGATTTCTTCTTATTGAAGGCGACTTGACCCTGTGCTATCCTCTCTTTCTATCCCTAATACTATTCCTTCCGTCCTGACTTATCTGACTTCCTAAATACCTAAAATCAGCTACTTCTTCCAATTTTTTGTCTCCTATCTTTATATTCGCTCTTTCCCTACTTTTCCTTCCCTTGCAAACCAGTATTTTTGTTTTACTTTTATTTATTTTCATACAGTACTGTTTTGTCAATACCGCTTCCATTTTATTTGGAGCTATCTCTAACTCTTCCTTTCTAGATGCTAATACTGCTATATCATCTGCAAAACTAAGCATACTAATCTTTTGTCCCTGTATATCTATCCCTACAGTTGTACTGTCTTTAATGATGTTGATCGCGTCTTCAATGTATAGATTAAGAAGTAAGCGCCATGTTTTTTAGGCTCCTCCTATTTGACGGATCCCGATATGCAATTTTTTCGCTACCATTATATACACATGCATATGTACTTATACTGCTTGAATATCTGATAGATCTTGCTGACATTTATAATTCTTCCATTTTCAACATATTTTCAACAACCCTTATGTACCTATTGAATTATTTTTAATGTTGCAATTATTTTTAATATCTTAGTGAATCAGTATTTCACATAAATTGAAAGTAACGAACAAACTGATTACAGAAAATTATTGAGTGAATTCTGTCATCGTAATTGTGTACGTTTCGCGAATGGATAAAGACAGGAATTATGTGAATTTTATATAAAGAAGGGAAAATCCGAACTGAGAATGTTTGTGTTCACATTTCTTCATTAGTAGTGAAGAAGACAATGTAGGAAACTCCCAGCAAGTTCCGTAGTTATTAAATAGGAAACAAGCAAACCATTATCAAAGGTGAGTTTCTGATTTTCTATAGTAATGTCTGCAAGTTTACTTATTTTATTGTATTATTTGCACTCATGTCTCGCACCATTTGGTTGTTTTATTTTTCAACTTAATAGAAAATATTGATCGTTACAATTGATTTTGCACTTCATTCATCAAGCTTGGTTATGTGTAAGCATTGTGATAAAACTTATTTTGTGATAAATATAATTGGCTTCAGTTATTCTTTTGGAATCAATTTTTTTGGATCGTCGGAAAAATTAATTTATTTTTCTAGGTGTTTTCACAGTTTTCTCTGAAATTTGGCTAATATAAGATTTTTTAGAATCTTCTTTAATTATTAGGTCTTGTGGAGGAAGTTTTAATGTAAAGAAGCATTTTAAAAACTTAATTAAAATACTGATACTTAACTTTAAATTTTCAAAAAAATGAAAAAGGTCACATACGTTAACAGAAAAACTCATGATGAAAATAGTTAGATTTTGTTTAAACATTGTAGAATCGCAATATAAGGGTATTATTGATTATTTGATAACTAATTGTTATATGAAAAACGAGAAATTGGTACCATTGTTATTTAGGATCATTTTAGTGTCTGTCGAGGCATTAGTTTATTACAACTCGAAATTTCCATTTGTAATTCCAAAACTTCGACTTGCACAACTCGAAATGTTAACCTTAAATTCAAAATTTTTTCGTACTGTATTGATTTAGATACATACCAATATTGCAACAATCGTTATCTGCGTTTCAATTGCCTCAGGCTTGGTTTCGAGTTTTAAGTCGAAATTTCGATTTATATGTCGAAAGGACCTCGCTAGTTCCTAATAGAAAACGGCGTTCTGTCAAACTCTAAAACTTTGGATTCTGGTAGTTCTCCAAGTGTAGATTAAAGAGTTTGACAGAGGGCTATTTTCCGTAGGTAGGAGCCTTTCGAGTAGCAAGTCGAAATTTCAGAAAAAAATAATCTTTGGTCATTCCACGTTTTCGTATGAAAGACATTATCGAATAAAATAATTCGAAGTGGTCTGCATTCTGTCGAAACTGCCAGGCGCGGATCGCGATTTCGATCTTTTTGGATCTCATCAGCGCGTCGCAGACAGCTCCGACAGAACACAGACCAACTTTTACCTGCTGTCTTAACAGCGCGTTTTAGAAAATACCACAAATGGCGTGGTAAACGCCATCTGTAGTACGATGCCACATTTTAGGATTACGTATGCTCCAACAAGGTCCATTAAAATATATGGATATCTATTTGCTGAAAACGAATCCCGGCGTAGGTAACCTCAACGTGATAGGCACGTTACCATAATCGAATAAAATAATTCGAAGTGGTCTGTATTCTGTCGAAACTGCCAGGTGCGGATCGCGATTTCGATCTTTTTGACAGCTCCGACAAAACACAGAGATTATCAATTTTTTAAAATGTTATAAGTAGCAGTAAAGTGATGTAAAAATCCAAATTATAATAGGTAGGTATTGTCTCTTGTAAATTGGTAGTGTGGTCTCTTTCCTAAATGTGAAATGTTAATGAAGAGTAAATATTTACGTCAAAAGTTGGCAATATTTATCCGTATCTCTCCTGTTAAACACTACATTTAATCTATTTGTGACACATAATGTGCAGCATTTATGTTTCAACTCTTGCGAAAACGCGGCAAATGAGTGTTTTATGTTTGTATACTTTTAATGGAATGGAGGAAGTAGCGAGCATATTTCCCGACGAACGTTAAACAACCAATAGAGAATGCATTTCTATGTAGTTACTTTTCGGTTAATAACCTTTTCGATTACTTATATCTCGTATCAAAATAATTGCGCCCGTTCCAACGTTTTAAATCAGCATTTTTATTGAATAATTCGTTTTATTAATTCAATCATCTTCAATTAAATTCAATTAAAATATATGGAATAATCGACCGAAAAAATTATTTTTCAAGAATTCAATTATTTATTAATTTCAATTATACGTAAATGTATCTACTCGCTCGGTTGGTGTTAATCGAGTTAAAGAAATTTTAGACTTGCTATTGTACAACATATTAATCTAATAATTTCTGGCTTGTATTGTATGAAAACAAATAAAAATAAAACAGCAATATTGATATGCAATGGAAGAAAAAGAAGAGAAAGAGCGAAAATAAAGATAGGAGACGAAAAATTAGAATTAGAAGTGGCTGATTTTTGGTATCTAGGAAGTCAGATAACTCAGGATGGAAGGAGAGGTAGACATATAGAACAGTGGATATCGCAGGGTCGAGTCGCCTTCAACTAGAAGAAGTCAGTTCTACGCGAGCGGTTAACTTAGAAATTAGAAAAAGATTGTTAAAGGTGTATGTTCGAAGCGCGGCGCTGTACGGGTGCGAAACATGGACGGTGGGCGCGGCGAAAAGAAAAAGCTTTTGAAATTTAGTATTACGGGCGAATGGTGAGGATACCGTGGATAGAGAAGGTTCGAAATGAAGAGGTATTAGAAAGAATAGAACAGAAGACACTATTGAAGTCAATAAAAAGTAGGCGAGATACCTGTAGAAAAAATTTCCATTGAACTTCAATGGGAATCAATGGAAAATTTGTAAATTTAATTCAAACCCATTTGGCATAAATGGAAAAATAATTGTTTCCATTTACAATAATTCCATTAATATTTACATAGGAAAAATTTCCATTGATTTTCAATGGGAACCAATGCAAAATTTATAAATTCTATTTAAAACCATTCAATATAAATGGAAAAACAATTGGGTACCTAGAAATGGAGAAGATCTGGTTTGAGATGATTAGAACTTATTAAAAAAAATGGAGAAAAACGTGCTGAAGTTAATGTGATTGTCAAAGCAAGTTGTAAAAGAAAACTCATATTTCATCTTGATTAAAACGAATGTCATTTAATTACCACGAACAATAATTAAAGGTAAAAAATAAAGAATTGACACTAGGATTTCCATTGAGTTCGGGAATGGGATTTCCACTAGAATTCTAGTGGAAATTCCATTCATCCCATTGGCGATTCTCCATTTATTACTATTAATTATTATTATCAGTGGTAATTAAATGGCATTTTTTAATGGAAATAGAATGGAAATTTTTCCTACGGGATAGGTTGGTTGGACACCTTCACATGCATGAAGGTCTAGTCAGAGACATATTAGAGACAAAAACGGGAGTTAGGAGGGGGTAGAGGTAGACCTAGATTAGATTACTGTGAGCAAATAGTTAAGGGTATGGATCGTTCTGGTTTTAGGAAAATGTGAAGATTAGCTGAGGATAGGAAAGAGTGGAGGTGTATGTTCAACCAGTCTTAAGGCTGATGACATTATGATGATGATGAATTTCTGGCGTAACTGTCATCATGAGCGAAGCTTCAAATTTTTTCTAGAGAGGGTAGACTTTTAATAGCTTAACATAGGTTTAATGTGTTTGGTTTCTATGTTTTCAAACTCTGTGCCGATATTGTGATTCGACAGAGTATTTTCCAGTGGGGCAATGAACTTGCTAGGGGTAGCGTCTCCCCTTGGGAGAATACGAGGATACTGGTGCGTAAAACCAAGGACGCGGGTTCAATTCCCGGCAAGGGAATGGCAGCAGCGACATTTTTTCCTCATTAATTTGAGGTTATCAGTAGTTGATAAAATCAATTGAAAAACTAATTCACTAATACATTGAATTAACGCTATAAAAATTTCGGAGTATCTCAATATCCAGATACACCAAACATTTGTAGTTCCCGGATTTTTTCATTTGATTTATACAAATACTGGCGTTTGGGACTGCGCGATAAGAACTGACAATATCAGAAATCTGCGAGTGGAAAGTGTGCCCTTCGGACATTGTCACATTTCGTTTTTCGTCATCAATCAACTGGACCTTTGTTCAACTTCCAGTAAATATCATTTCTTTCTTTCGTCGGAAATTACCTATATTATAACTATTATCTTGTTATTATCTATATGTGGTGAAACAAAAAAGTCTTCAAACATCAGATAATCGTTTTTGTGTGTCTCAGAACTTACGCGAACAACGGATAAAAGGTCTGTATCTCGCCTTTGTGTCTGTTTGTGTTGGTTTTGATGAAAAACGACATTCGAGTTATTGAACTGAATAACGTTGGAAGCTTTGATAACGAAAATTGGAGAGGTTCCCTTGAGAAATGGAGTAATAAGGGCAGCTTTTTCACATAACATGTACCTACCTATACATTTTAGATGCTTCTACGAAAATTATTGATATGTTCACTTTCACACCTTAGCCGAAGACATAAGAGAAAGTGCATAAAATTCTATTTATTAATAGCAATATAATTAAATAGTAAAGTAGTAGTAATGTTTTGTTTTATATAAAAAAAAAATAAATAAACGTTAACGGGGAAATTTGAAGATTATTAGAAATGTACGCTTGGAGGACGACTCTGTATGGGAGCGAAACGATGATAGTGGGCGCAGTTAAAAATGAGTAGGAAGTGAAACAAGTAGGAGAACACAGGGCACTACGGCAGTCAATAAGGAAAAGGAGAGATAGGATGGTGGGACATATCTTCTGAGGGATCAAAGGATAATTAAACACATATTTATTTACTACTACTACTTTTGGCTTTGACTACATTTGGATTATAAGGGTGGAAAGAATGGAGAGTGTAAAGTTAATTAGTGATTCCACTCTTACATTTCAAAATTTATTGCAAACCATTAAGATTTCTTTTCTCAAAATGCTTGTAAAAACCAAAATCAGTCATTAAATACTTTTGTACTGCAACCTTCAAGCAATATAATTGCATTCTGAGAGGTCATCAGTTAAGGAGGTTTAAATGAAGGCCCACATTTTGGTTTTTGTTAGTTATATCGTGAAGTATTATTTGCTTGTAAGGGTTTCAGAATTTCCGAGAAAAGGGGCAATATATTTTTTAAATTTTAGTGGCTTTTACTTTATTGACGTTTAACCAATATCTGCAGGTTGTATTGCATTAATTAAAACATCGGTCCTTTATAAGAATGTTGTTTCATCAGATT